ATAGCTTAGGTAAGACCCCTGGGTTCAATGAACCAATTGTAACATGAGAAATTTCCACTGATATATTAGTTTATTTACTCACAGAGGTGATAAATGGACGGATTGAGTTAATTTTAAGCAAATCAAAATAAATTGATTTATTTTTTCATCCCTATTTAAATATTTTATATTTTACTTTTTGGTTTGTCTAAATATTAGTGTTTCTTTTTTTATTTAGTAGTATTTTTTTTAATTCAATGTCTTGCTAGATAAATTTAAGACCATATTATTTAAAAGATTACATACTTTTTTAATTTAAGATTACAAGATTTAATTTTTTTTCTTTTATTTTCTTAAATTTCATTATCACTCATATTAAGACACTTAAATTGAAATAGAAAGAGTAATAAATAAATTGATTATTGACCTGCTCAAATTATTTGCACTGAATAGACTAAAATTAGAGTCAAAACTCAACCCGCTCAATTCTTACTAATTAAGTTTTGATTGCTTTGATTTTTCTTATATAAATTCTTAGTTCATACTCTCTTTGTTTATGTGGCAGAGTTGATTAATTTTTTACCGAAATTACTTAATATGTATTTTAAATATTTTTAATTGTTAATTACTGTGATTTATAATACTTTATACGTAATTTTTAAATATATAACTTTTATTTTTAAAAAAATGAAGTTTTCATATGTGAATTTCGATCAAAATTTAGAAGTTTGAATCTCAAAATTTTAACAATGCCATATAAATTGAGTTAGAGGGAGTAATATTTTTTAAGTCATAACTATATACATAGATAAGCGAATCAATAATCCAATCAAATTTAAACGAATTATAATTTCACGAGCTAATTTTATCGCCAACTTATATCAACCCGCACATGTCACCAATAGAAACCTCCCAGGTATTACTGTAGCTAAACTAATCTAAGCTAATGGGTGGCGGCTTGACCACTAATTAGCCATAAATAGTGGGGAAAATTCACCTAATTGGACAACAACTATAACTTCCTCCTCCAATTCCAAAGCTTTTATATTACTTTCAACGGTTAGTAAATAGAGGTAAAATGGTAAGATTATTGTACCAATTATTATTTTCTTAATAAGCGTGCCAAGTCAAAATTTGATAAATAAATAGGGATGAAGGGAGTACCTTGTTTGAATGATTGTTACAAATTGCTTTATAATGTATAATATCGTATTTTACTATTCTATTAATGAATATAATGTTTTGGATAGATTGTATCATTTTTCATTATTATAAAATGTTACATATCAATAATTTGAAGGATAAATCTACAAGAAAAGTAGAGTATGAGTATATTAGATCAACTACTTAAAAAAGGTAGGTCAATGATAAAATAAGATTATTAAATAATAAATAAACACAACTAAAAAAGAAAGAAAAATAGTGACGACACGATCACATTAAATCGATATGAGAATTGATAAAATTGTTTGTATTTTAGACTTGAAGAACCTATACTATTCCATTACATCTTTGAATACAGCATTATTAATTTGCTTATATTTCTTTTATTTACAAGAGCTTTTATTTATTTTGTTTTTTTTCTGTTCACCAAAATTGACCCTGCTTTGTTTCATATTTAGCCTCTGCCCTCTATCCATAGCTATTAATAAATGACAACTTATTTAAAAATACGTGTGTCCCGTGGCTATATTAATGCCACATTACCCCCTCTATACACACTAGCTCGTTACTATGTAGCTTTTTGCTTTTGTTCCGAGTGGCGGATTCAGGATTTTCATTAAGGAGGTTTGGAAAAAAAGAAGTAGTGCATTAGATTCAAACTTGGAACCTCTAGGTTAATTTTGAACCCCTCAACCACTAAGTCAATCTCGAATTTTACATTTAAGAGGTTCAAAATCAATATATAGATATAAAAGTTCTTAAAAATATCTTAAATATATAATCATTTTTTGCCGAGAGGGTTCGGGTGATCCCCTCGGCAACCTCTAAGGTCCGCCCCTGTTTGTTCCCAATTATAATTTCGTACATTATAACTATATATTATAAAGTCAGTTACTCACGAGGTGACTATATTATATTTACATGATAATTTCATTCATATATGGCAACGGGCCTGCTTGTGTTATCTAGGACCATATTTAGTATTTATGTGCTGCAATTTTTTATGATATAGTATAAAGTATAGCATAATTGAGTTATTTTTTAATACATGAACAAAATAATTACGTATATGTTAGATGCAATAAACTGAAAGTTTCATTGAAATTTTGTAGTGAAAATGTTCGGTGGTTATTCTGACTGATATTTTGATTGAACTAGTGAGAAAAGAAAAAATCATAATATGTTTTCATATGGAAAAGTCATAAAGTTTCTCACTATTTAAGTGAACCATACATTTTTCAAGTGAGTTGGTTCGATAGAAAATAAGTGAAAATATCATATTTTATAACACAAATTTTTCACTAATTCGCGATAGAAAAAACTTGTATTTTTGCAGTGACATCTACCCTCTCGATGCTTGAAATTGACCTGACTTTAATAGTCCTAATATGATTGTGTTGAATTTTAGCTTTGTCTAAGGATGTCGTTACGTAAGTTAGTTACTTGTAGTTGTAGGTTATAGTATTCATTACCTTCTGTACGTATAAAATAATTAAAGTTATCGTGAAATGGTAAATATTTCTCTATTTTAAATCTCATAGACAAAATGTTAATAAGATTTTTCGATACAAATCTAAACTGACATGCCCCAAAAAAACAAAATTTGTTACCCTCTTTAATTTGATGGAGTAGTGCTCTTTTTTTGACCAACTTTATCCAGCTTCCTAGGTATAATATGGTTTATGCAAGTCGTTATCAACAAAAGCAAAAAGCCATGTAAATTTAAGCAGCAGTGGATAAAGAGATTAGATGATAGTCAGAAACTCACATGCTTAGCTATACTTTCAAGATTAAGAAGCAAGAAATTCATATGACATTCCACCCCACTAAAAATATTTAGTGGCAGTAAATTTTTTTTTTAGCAATAATATTTATTGTCAGAAAAATATTTAACGACATTTATAGAAAATATTGATTAAAAATATTCATATTTATTATTGTCCCTAAATATAATAAAACGATAATTATATTATTGTGGCTAATCTTTTATTTATCGTAGTTTTCATAATCACTTGATTCTTATCCTCTCATTGACATCCTAACGGTTCCCTAGCTAATAATTGTCCATGTAAAGATTATTTACATGATTGATTAGTACTAAAACTTAACTTATTATTCTAAATGGAGTACTATTTTTATCAGATCATATATCACGTTATCACTATATATATAGAGAGAGAGATTGGGTCCAACTGTCTGCACTGTCTTGAATCCATCTCATGCATCGTTTTAATAATATTTTAGTATATGATTCTCAAAAAGTGTCCTTTTTAAAGCAAGACTCTAAATAAATATCCTTTAATTTTTAATTACACTATGGGTATGTTAATTCAAGCAAAACAAGATAAGAAACCAACATGGATTGTGGTGCATTGGTGGGAGTGCTCCTAGGTATAGAGAAAATCCTGTTGAGAGCACTATCCCTGAATGGATCCTGTCGTGCGCAATTTAAATTTAGTCAAGGCTCTAATGTGGACTCCGAACACCGAGTGAAAAACAAAAAAAAAACAAGATAAGAAACCCCCTATACATAACTAACATAAATTAAAGCCAAAGCTAGCAAAATCTTGCAAATATAATTTACCAAGTCACATAATTAAACTTTATGAGTCTAACATTTAAAATCATGATACTTTGATATTATATTAAAGATTATATCTATTGCTTTTTACAATTTTTAAAATAATATTTATATATAAATTATATTTCACATTAAAAGTATTGAATTTAAATGAATCATCGGTATGCTACCTCCACCTAATCAGCCAAAAAAGTGATTCCATGAAAGTTCTCATATCAAATTCCCCAATTTAACAAATTTTATCTCATCGTTGTTGTTTGGATAAGTAGGATTATATAGATGTGATCAAATTAGTCTATAAAAATATTATTTGTTTAGTTTATTTAAATTTGGATTGGTTATTAATTATTAATAAAAAAGAAATTAAATATATAATTCGTCCAATTCATTTAAGTTTGGGTTGATTATTGATTCTTAATTAAAAAAATAATCTGAATTGATACCTAGTTTAAATTGATCCACGAACTATATAATAAAGAAAAACAATAATTTATTAGGTACTAAAAATTATATAAGAAAAAATAAACAATTAAAACTCAATAAAAATTGGACGGGTTATGTGTTAAGACTCGTTTTTAGCTTATTTCAATCCAAGTAACTTTTTGAGGTCATTTGCACATTTCCCCCTATTTTGTGTTGGTCTTTAATTTTTATTCAACAAATAATTTTTTTTGTGAGACGTAAATTTATATTTTGATATATATGATAACATCCCACAAGTTATGCCCAAATATTACTTCAGTTTGTATATCACTTATGTCCCAGTAGGCCGCATGCACTATATAAAAAATGATCTTTAACAACAATAGTTTAATTATTGTTAAATATATATATTTTTAGAGGTGTCACTAGAGCCTATAGGGACATTGAGTCCAATGACAATTAACTAATGCCAGTAAAAACTTTAACATTCTTTGTTAATGTGGATATATATCTATTGCCGCTAAACGTTGTTTTTGTTGTGGTCATAAGTTGCTAAAGGGCAAAAATTAAAGATTAATCCATTTAAAAGAGAGAGAAATACTGGTCTAACTCATTAAAAAAGCAAAACGTGTAATTTTATGTAACTTTTGAACGGATCAATAATTTATCTTTTTATTAACTTAATTCTTTTTAACTTTCTTAAATTGAATCCAACTTGTCCATCTGACACCTCGGATACACTTGGAACCATTAGAGAGATGGCAATATGGATATTTGTTAGAAGAAGTGAGGTCCATTTGAGAGGGGCTACCTTTATAAATAATGTCATATGAGGTCTATGCTCTCCCAAAGTCTTAATTAGACAACAAACACCTTATTCTCTACATCCCTCTAGCTTTTATAATAACTAAAACTAAAAGTCCTCACTGCTGTACTCTTTCTCACATTTATCCACTTTCATTTTTGCATCAGAAAGCAAAAAAGTAACATGAATAATGATGATCAAATGTTACACATTTCTCAGTACTATTCTGGTATCTATACTCAACAGTTAACTCAACAAGGTTAGTACCATAACTACTTTCTCTTTAGAATTTAACTTTATACACAATATAGGTAACACTCATGTTACTTTAACTCATCCTTCTAGATAATCCGTCTTATTTTTCAAGTTATTAATTCCATTTTGTAACGAATAGTTATATGAATATATCATTTAGATGATCTGATAGTATCGTCAATACAAATTACTTAGAAGCCATAAAAATATTGTCATGACTTGATTTTAATTTTTGTACTCTTGACAATATCACCTAAAAGGTAACTATAGATGAAACGATGGCTAAAAAGTGAGATTATTAGTTATATACAACAAGTTAAGTTGAAGAGATTTTTTATACTATCAGTGTATATAAATTACAGGAGAGGGTAAACCGAAGAGGAGAAGAAAGAAGAACAAAGGAGATGATGTAAACGGGGCGATGATGATGATGATGAGGAAGAGGAAACTAAGTGACGAACAAGTGAATTTGCTCGAACAAAGTTTTGGACATGAACACAAATTGGAGTCGGAGAGGAAAGACAAACTTGCCTCGGAGCTAGGTCTAGACCCGAGGCAAGTAACTGTGTGGTTCCAAAACAGAAGGGCTCGATGGAAGAGCAAGAAGTTAGAGGAAGAATACTCTAAGTTGAAGAATGAACATGAGACTAATATTGTTGACAAATGTCGTCTTGAAAATGAGGTCCGTAAATATTTCACTCTCTTTCTATTTCGAGTTTTATGACTATAGACAAAAAGAATATATCATATCACCTAAAACATAATTATTCATGTTGGGGAAAACTAAGTACAAGAGATTAGTTGGATAAATAAGACTTACTAGAGATTAATAAGAAACGTTTATGTGGTCCTAAAAGTATATTCCATTTTAAATATGATATTATTTGATTTAATGCAAAATATAAAATGCTAATTTAATTTTGACTTTATGTTATATTAGTAACGGTGAAAGTAGAATATAAAAGATTAATTTGATTAAAAAAGAACGTCACATTAAAATTAAAATTTAAACAGTTTAATATATTACTTGAAAATTGTTAAAAATAAAACAACGTCAAATAAATTGTAAGGTTCAAAAAAAATAATATTTTTTTCCATTCAGTATTCGATATCTACTTTACGACCTCATTAATTTAATCATCCGTACACTATTCTTTAAGACTAGCCAAGTACAGGCCCTCTTGCACATGCCAATATGCTCTTTCTGCACACGTGGACGTGCCACATTTTGAAATCCAATCTAATCGAATAACGTACTTATTGTCATGAGAAGTAATTTTTAAAAAGTTTAAGTTAGGGGATGCAAATATTTTAACTTAATATTCATCCTTATATTCAAAATTCGTTATTTTCTTAAATTACATGTACAGTTAGATCAAACTACATTAAAAATTTTACACTTTCAATTCCTTACGGTAGATCGTCACTATATATATGTTAAATCCTAAACGAGGCAATCTTTTGGTACAGGTATTGAAGCTAAAGGAACAGATGTGTGAAGCGGAGAAGGAGATACAACGGCTATTGACAGAGCGATCCGACGGCGTTTCGATCAATAGCCCAACAACTTCATCACTCTCAATGGAAGCAGCCATGGATCCTCCTTTTCTAGGGGAGTTTGGGTTTGATAATAGTTTTTATGGGCCTAGTCATGAAGGATTGGAATGGGTTAATAACCTGTACAATATGCCATATCATATGTGACCTAATCACTAGCTAGTAGTAATATTTTATGTGTGTATACATTAATGATCTTTTCTCCTTTGTATTATTAGTGTGTATTATTATATTGTTAGTAAAATGACTAGCAAGATATGGAATATATATATAACTTTGCTTTTGAGTAATATTTAGTGTCTATGTACGTTGCAATGATATTTAACTTCGTCGTCTTACTAGTTAAGAGTCTATTACACGAATTCTCATTATGACCATGTATATTTTATGTATATCATACAATACATTATATAATTAAGGATGTCGATGAATGGATACGAACGACTCCCTTGCGACTTATAAAAGGGAATTTTTACACGGTATGATATTTGAGAAAAAAATATGTATTTACTTTAATCTATATTTAAAATTGATATTCAGTTTAACAACTATTACCCTCATCAAGAGTTCATGCAAATCACCACTTTTTTGTGAAAGGTCAAGTATGTGAATTCTTATCAAACTGTGACCTGTACTCACAAATAATTCTTATGTTCCAGTGAACAAATAAAAATTCTATTGGGGATTTTTAATCTTTTAAAAATTCATTGAATTTTGTGATTTGTTTAAATTTTTGACAAATTAATGATTGAGATTCGTTAAGGATATCATTTCGAACTTATTAAGAATTTTGAAGCTATTTAATGAAAAGTTAACTCATTTCGGATGAATTTTCGAAGTTGAAAGTTCGTAGAAGATGAAACTCGATTTTTGTGTATGCATAATTTTGTATGATAGTGTAAAAGTGTATATAATCACATGTTATACACAATTCTATACTTACATATATGCATAATACATAAATGTGTCATTTAACTTGGCTTCATTTCACACTTATGCCCTTCAACTTTGGGTGTGTAACTTGGTATAAAGTTGAACAAGTAGGCACATGAGTCCTATGTGCCATAATACACATAGGACGCAAATTACCATGTAGGATGTCAAATAAGACGTGTGTTTATTTGTTCAACTTTATACAAGTTTAAGTGTCTACTTGTGTACACTCAAAATTGGAGGACATAAATGTGAAATGAGGCCAACTTAAATGGCATATTTATATTTATGCATTATACCCTTCTATATAAGATTGTTACATTATCTACAAATAAACACATAATATTGTATATTGTATGTATTAATACATAATCACTGCTGCGGAAAAAAGAAGAAAAATAATGACCAAGTGGAGATATATGTTGTGTTGAGTTGCATATATATATTTTTATTAAATTTTGACCTTTTTGAAAAGCTTGATAATTTATTAAATTTTATGATTTTTTGAAATTTTGACAAATCCTTTTTTTAGGTATGTTGGGATGTTATTTTAAAATTATGGTGAAAATTTAAAGTTATTCAATGAATATTTAACCCATCTCGGATGGAGTTTCGTAGGAAACTAAACTCAATTTTTATATAATTTTGTATACTTGTGTAAAAGTGTGTATAAACACATTATCTTGTATACAATGTTATATATGTTTATACAAGATTGATACATTATCTATAATAAGTATATAATATTGTTTTACCACGTGTATAAACATAGTTGCATAAAGCAATTCCTATGAGGGTATAAGCTAAAAATGTAACTACCATGAATATTATATTTTATGTTGAATTGTATAGTTTTTATTTTAAATAAATAAATAAATAATTAATAACCATGTTTATCAAAGAGAATCTCTTATCGTAAATAATTTTGTTTCTTAAGCTCACTGTTTTTCATACACAACTGTCACGATCCAGACCGTTGTGATTGACACCCTCACTAACCCTCCGGTGGGAGAACCACTACTATCATCTAAACCAAGTAACTAAACCAAAAATTAAGGCATTTAAATGACGGAAGCAAGTATAAATAAATAAATAAGGAAGTTCCCATAAACTTCAACAAAAGATCTAACAACTAAACTAAACAAATGACGGAAGAAATAACCTAGAACCTGAAAGTCAATGTACCAAAACATCCAACCAGATCCATAAGTCTAAACAAGAAGGGTTACAACCCCAATCTAATGAACTATCACTACTAGAAAAGTCTAAGTCCGAAATGTAAACATAGACGAAAAGAGAACTCATGGCAGCCCGAAAGAATTGGCTCACCCTTGAATTCGAACAAGATCACTGATCTTCTAGACGAGGTCTGTCAATAGCTGCCTGAAGATGCCCTGTACTCAACAAAAATAAGAGCAAGTGTAGTATCAGTACACAACCATAGTGTACTGGCAGGATCACACGGCTATCCCACTAAGTGTAACATACATAAATCAATGCAACAGTATAATCACATGCATATATCGAACATATACAATATTATCACATGCTCAATAACATACAGTTACAACAAGTCATTGGTTCTCTCATGGAACCCAAACTCAAACAGTTAGCATACCGGAACGTGGTACTCGATCCAATGATTATGTCA